CCACCATCTTTCTGTGTCCTTATCTAAATCAGCTCCCCACTTTGTCACCAGATCCTATCACCTTTTCCCTACTCGAGGACGTCAGATTAGCTCAAGGACATCTTCCATCTCTCTCTTACACCCTCAATATTTCGTTTTCTATTTGACCAACTTATTTCTCACTTTTACAAACAAAAAACTTCCCTTGACCTCACTCCGTTTCCCATCAGCCACCACTCCCTTCTTTGCCCATTGTTGTAAAAGTCCTCGAAGAGCTGGCTGCATTCGTCATCTGCAACTCCTCCCATTCTCCCTTCAACCCACCCCTTTCACCGTGCCTCCAGAACTGTTCCCACAGAGGTCGCCCAGGACCTGGATTCTCAGCCCTTCGCCCACTTACCCCATAACAGTTACTGGAAGGTTGATCACTCGCCTCCGTGAGACACCTCCTCCTCTTAGCTTCCACTCTGGGCTCCATGCTCCGGCTTCCGTCCACCGTGAAGGTCACTCCTCAGCCTCCTTCATTAGCTTGTCTTCTCCCTGACTTCTTGGGGGAAAACGCCCCGTGTTCACAGTCCCTTGACTTCTGTGTCCTGTCTCCCTCCGTTGCTGACTGTACCCAGTCCCATTGTTTCAAATATCATGAAGATGCCAACAAGTTCCATCTTTAGTCCAGAACTCTCTCCCAAAATCAAGCTTCCAGCCCAACATCAACCATGGAGTTCTGATGGGCATTTCAAACTTAGCGTATCTTCAACCGGACTTGCAGCCATCCTTCTCCACCATCACCACCCAGTCCCACCAAACCTTCCCTGTCTTAGTTCACCGTAACTACACTCTTCAGCTCCTCGGGATAACAACTTTGAGGTTCCCTTTAGCTACGCACATTCCCTCATAGCCTGCACCCTGTGCGTCGGAATTTGCAGGTCTCACCTTCAAATGCGTCCCGAATGTGACCATTCTCACGAGCGTCACTGCTCCCACCCTGTTTGAGCGATCACCCTCCCACCTTGCCGACCACAGGAGCCCCAGTCTTCATCCTTGCCTTCCTACCATCTCGTCTGAACAAGAATTTATGAAACCTCAGTGAGATTGGGTTAGCTCTGCCCATGGCCCTACAAGGGCACCCCACTGCCCTCTGGAGTGAAGTCCTTCCCAAGGCTTCCTGGGGCAGGCAGGCTGGCCCCTCTCTGAGCTCCTCTCCCACTGCTGTCCCCCTCGCTCCCTTCTCTTAGCTATCCTGATCCTTTTGATGCTCCTCTACGGCAGACACCCTCACTGTGGGGCCTGTGCACCAGCTAGTCCCTCTGCCAAGCATATTCTTTCCCCAAATACCCCCCGGATGACTCCTTCACTTCCTTCAAGTCTTGGTTCAAATCTCACCTCCAAATGCTCTGTTTCCTACAGACCCTGTTTATACAGCGATCTGCACCCTCACCACTCCTGTGTGTTTTATTTCACAGCATTTAATACCTCGTTATAGATTCTACTTATTTTTTATGTTTTGTATCTATCTTTCCTTGCTAAGAAATAAAAAACAAAGGCAGGAATCTTATCCTTATTTACAGATACATTCTAAGAAAAGGATGCATATAGCACATAGATGTTTACTGTTTATCAGGTGATGAGCCATGTTATTTACATCAACAAAATTAACTGACTTAATGACGTTATCTCCAGAAAAATACTCTTGGAAAAAATTCATCAATGTTGGCATAATTCTGATATCTTAAAAAATCTTTTAGGCTGAAACAAATGGTCAAAACCTCCATAAAGTCAGTGCCAAATGGCTGGAAATGGTGATGTGAACAGGCCCTGTGTTCACCGGATGGTCGTATGCTTTATGTAACGCACCCCAGGTATTACTGTGCCCACTGTACAGATGAAAAGAGTGAATCTCAGGAAATGATGTGTTTCCAAAGTCACACAGCTAGTCCGTGCTGGAAACAGGACTTGACTTCACATCTGTACGCCTCCACGCCTGCAGTTACCACCCTGCCTCCCCACCACAACGACAGACTTTTCCTAGTTGATTTTGAAATGACTGTGGCACGAGGGATGAGAATGGCTTTCCCACTACCACTGAAGTGTGTCACCAACAGCATTGAAAAGCAGGACCAAAAATTCAACAGTGTATATTCACACTGGGAAACCCCCCATTCGACATGATGAGGCAGAGAAGGCGGACAGCCGGGCGCGGTGGCTCACGCCTGTAATCCCAGCACTTTGGGAGACAGGCGGATCACCTGAGGTCAGGAGTTTAAGGCCAGCCTGATCAACACGGAGAAACCCCGTCTCTACTAAAAATACAAAATTAGCTGGGTGTGGTGGCACGTGCCTGTAATCTCAGTTACTCAGGAGAATCTTTTGACTCCAGGAGGCGGAGGGTGTGGTGAGTTCACCCCACTGCACTCCAGCCTAGACCACAAGAGTGAAACGCTGTCAAAAAAAAAAGAAAGAAAAGAAAATGGATGGGAATACCAGGGGGCTTCAGACATTGTCCCAGAAACTTCAACATTGTCTGGTAGCAAATAGTCCTTCGCCACCTTAATCATTCCCTCATTGCTTTATCTCCCTCACCAAAACGTATGGCAGAACACTGAAGCTGGTCATTTACTTGGATTTTTAAAAATAGGTAGGTTCATTCTTCTAAAAGAAAAGAAAAAGTGAACACTGGATAGATTTTTAAGCACCGATTAACATAGCCTATGTGGTGGGAAAACGACTGCTCCATGCAAAGGTGTTCACAGCCTAACACCCAAAGCCTGTGACTGTTACTTCACGTGGCGGCAGAGACTCTGCAGATAGGATTATGCTGAGGATCCTGAGAAGAATATTCTGGATTATCTGGGTGAGATCAATGTAATCACAAGGGTGTTTTTTTGTTTATTTGTTTTTTTAGGTGGAGTCTCGCCCTGTTGCCCAGGCTGGAAGTGCAGCGGCACCATCTCGGCTCACTGCAGCCTCTGCCTCCAGGGTTCAAGCGATTCTCCTGCCTCAGTCTCCCAAGTAGCTGGGATTACAGGTGTGCACCACCACGCCTGGCTAATTTTTATATTTTTGGTAGAGGCGGGGTTTCCCCATGCTGGCCAGGCTGGTCTTGAACTCCTGGCCTCAAGTGATCCACCCCCCTTGGCCTCCCACAGTGCTGGGATTACAGGTGTGAGCCGCCATGCCTGGCCCACAGGGTCTTTATAAGCGGGAAGTAAGTGAGCCGGGGAGCTGTGGCTGTGAAAGCTGGGGCTGCCGTGATGCCAGTGGTGTGGGGAGACCATGGCCCGGAATGTGAGCAGACTCTAGACGCTAGAAAAAGCCAGAACTGATTTTCTCTAAAGCTCCCCTACCCACACCTTGATTTTAGCCCCACCCATTTGCATACTAATACATGTATTATTTTAAGCCACTGAGTTTGTGGTAATTTGTCACAGCAGCAATAGAGAACTCATACGCCTTAGAGAAACAAGGTCATAGAAACGCCTAAATCTCTGGACGTAGCATGTATCCATTCTGCTTTTATCTGTGTTAAGGGAGCCATCAGCAAACTGAGATCCAGGGAACAACAGAAAGATCTGTGACGTGACATCTGGCAGACAAACCCAAGCAGGAGACCCCGCCCTGCCCCAGCCCCTCCCTCCTCCACAGAGGCAACAATGTGCCATCACTGAGGTTCCACTGTGACACCTGCCTGGTAACACCAAGAACCCCTGAAAAGAAGTAAGAGTCATCATGTCTCAAGTTACCTGTTGCACTGACATAAAAAACAATCAATGGCAGAATTGATTTACTTGGTATTTTTCAAAATTAGGAAAAAAAAGAGCCATAGAGGGCCTCAGATTGTGAGAATAGCTTTTAATTTAAAACAATTGAAGCCATAAATCATCCATTTCTCTTTCCATCACAGGCAAATACTCTCCCAAAACATGTGATATAGTTTAACAACAACTGTAACTAGTGCAAAATAAAATAAATACAAACTCTTTCAGGAGTCAACATTGAAGCCTGCTGGACAGGTGGGCACGGGAGCAGACTGGGCCTCTGCTGAGGCCAGGACAAGCAGCGCCCTGACAGCGGGAGGCTTCCGTAGCGCTTCAGCACACCCAGCTTTGAACAAACTCAACAGTACTGGGGTGGGGGGTGGAGGCGGGGGGGAACCACAGGAGAACTTGGCCTACAATGAAACAAATACGCCGCACACCTTGTGTGGCTTACATCCTCGCACCTAGAAGACACTGGAAGAGCAAAGGTAGCAGACCCCAGGCAGAGCTGAAGACGGGCAGTCTGGGGCTCATTTGCTTTTGTTTTTTAATTGGGATCATACATATATATTGGTTTTTAGGCAGAAAAAAGATACTTCTGGGAGATGTTCTGTGCCTCACGGTGCTCCTGACTCCAGCAAAAATATTCGTGTTGTTTCCGTCTACTTAGATGCTTTGCAGAATTGCCTTTCCTGTTCATGGATTTCTCTGCCTACCCGGCACCATGGAAGTCTAGCATGGCACCGTCCATTAGAAGTACCAGGTTACCCACCTGTCTAATTTTACATTCTTTAAGGGCCACATTTGTTTCTAAAGATAAAAAGGATAAATTTATTTTAATAATATCTATATTACATTGCTAATATTTTACTTAATCAATATATCTAAAATATTGTCCTTTCATGTTGCATGTTAGCAACATGAAATACTGATGGAATATTTTAAATTCCTTTTTGGTACCCAGCCTTCAGAATCTTGTGTGTATGTTATGTGTACAGTACACTCTCGATTTGAACAAGCCACGTTCTGAGCAGTCATCGCCACATGTGGCTGTCGACTGCCACGCTGAGTAGCACAGGTCTAGAGCATCTGATGCCAACTCTTTAGAGTGATCGACTGAGTGGAAAATCCCTGTAACACCATACAGGTGTTACACCAACTCAGACACCGACTCTGAGTACGGAACCTTGCTCTGTAGCCTGGGATTTTTTATCTCACGTGAGGATATTATCACATTTTATCTAACCCCATCCCCAGGTCCTGCCCACCCCTGCCATCTCCCCACGCCCCACAGAAGGCCTGTACTGATGTGATTAGCAGCAGTGATGCCTGCAAATGACAAGACGGCCTTTCTGTGACAGACAGTTTGGGGATCACAGCGCTAACTGAATTAGAGTTCTGTTTCCCATCCTCTTGTAGAATTTTTAAATATTCTATAAAGGTGTCAGATTTACATGAAGGCAGTCCTTATGCTTTCCTAGGAAGACATCTTAAGTGGATTTTTTGGTTTTTTCTTGAGGGAGGTGGAGGCAAAGCACCCCATGGACTGGAACATTGTTTGTTTCAAGAGTAGAAAAAAGCGGGGCCGGACGTGGTGGCTCACGTCTGTAAACCCAGCACTTTGGGAAGCCAAGGCAGGTGAATTGCTTGAGGTCAGGAATTCAAGACCAGCCTGGCCAACACGGTGAAAGTTCATCTCTACTAAAAATACAAAAATTAGCTGGCCGTAGTGGCATGCGCCTACCTCCCTGCTACTTGGGAAGCTGAGGCAGGATAATTGCTCGAACCCGGGAGGCAGAAGTTGCAGTGAGATGAGATTGCACCACTGCATGCAGCCTGGGCAACAGGGCAAGACTCCATCTCAAAAAAAAAAGGGGGGGATGATTACCCAAAAAAGTATAGTTAAGTGGAGCAGGAGTACAAACGGGGCGGTGGCAGCACTAAGAATAACACGTCCTCACCTGGGGAGTATAAGCTCTAAGAACGCAAAAATACAACCTCCAGATCTCTAAGTGATCTCTCACGTTTCACGTCGGACCCTACTGGTAACCACAGGAAAATAAAAATAAAATGTCAGAGCAAGAGGGGACTTCTGAGGTCAACTAGTCTAACCAACTGTTTCAAATGAAAAGGCCCGGAGAGGTACAGCGACAGCCCATCTCACTTAGTGCAGTCAGGATACAGACCCAGGGCTCTCACCATGAACTGCAGGGAAGGCTCTTGTTCAGGTAAACGGAATAAATGACTCAGAAAGCACGAGGCTGGAGCTATCCCCACTGGACTTGCTACAGCCCAAGTAAGCACGGGGAAATGGCGGGCACATTCTCTCGTAGGTAGAAGGAAGCAGCCTAGTCAATTCCAAAATACTGAAGCAACGCTGATGTCAAGTGTCACTAACACATGATTCTTCCAGCAGTCTTTTCTGCATATGCTTTTCTTTAAAAGAAAATCCCAATGTGAACCAAACTGGATTTCTGATTAGTTATATGGGCATTTAGATCAATTGGCAAAATGAAAACTTTGATACATTACCTTTTCCAAAGACACATTCATTGGAATTCTACGCAAATGGATATCAAAAGATATTTACAGGAATAAAGTGCTGTTTTTCACACAGACACCCATATACAGTGAGAATTTCACATTAGACCACCATGCCTCACACAGAGGACGCCCAACAGACTGATAATGCGTTGACACATCCACGTGTTTTTCTACTTTTCAGTTACAAATAATTGTGTCTACACAGTGTGAAACTAAGTGGTACATTCCAGACTTTTCTAGGGGAACCTGCCTTGTATATGTCAAGATAAACATACAAATACGTTTTTAAGCAAGTAAGAAACCTACTATTTGCTCGTTTCTCCCAACTCTCAATCTGAAGTAAAGAATATACAAAACTTCGCCTTACAGAAGTAGCCCTTTGTGCTGTGAGGCAGGAAAAAAGGCAGCCACAGCACGCCTTCCTGCAGCACGTCCAGGCATCAAAGGGGCTAGTTAATGCAATTAAACAGTGTATAGCCTATAGTCTTAAATGTTGATTTTACGCCACTGATTTTCAAAGTTTTGTTAGAAAATTTTTATTTTGTTCAAAATACACATGCTGTCTTTGTCCACAATTCAATCCAAACCCCCCAGTCGCTCCCAGTTCCAAAAAAAAGGTCTTTGTTTATATCACGTCGTTGAAAACAAGCCATTTCTGATGCACGTCTGGAGCCATTATTCTCTGACACTCGCCGTGCCCTAGGGGACTGGGTTTTGTAAGGCTGCTTCGTGTGGGGATTTCCACAGGAGTCAGTGACTCTCAGAACAGAGTGGGGCTGCTTTAGGAAGTCTGAGTCAACGCTACAGGGTGACACCAGCGTGCACACTCCGATAGAAAAGTACTGCTTCGGGAACTCCCTCCTTCTGCCAATCTCATCTGTTCCCACACTGAGGAAAGCATCGAACAGAAGAGGCAGGGAGCAGTCCACCAGGACCCACCGTGGCGCACCGTATTCTACTCAGTGAAGGCTCACCTAACCGTGGCACACCGTATTCTACT